GTACTAGAGAATAGTTATGCATTTCATAAGTGCGATACCATGCCCTAGATTTATCATCCCTTCCATGTGAGCCTTCGGTGAGGGACTGTCCAATTATCTTACAGGTGGGTTTTGGGTCTCCATCTATGGGCAAAATCTTAAATAATGCAAGAAGCATCAAACGAAGATGGAAGAATTTGGGTTGAGGGATGCTGACAACATGGGTACAATAGAGTGACGACTTTAAAATTCAAGGACATGGTAAAACATCTGAAGTTCATTGCCAGAACAGAGATGGTACAGGAAAATGCTTACAGGACCCTAAACAGAATCCTTCACTTAAGATGATGCTAGGAGAAGTCATGTAGCAGACGACAATGGGAAAGTGATGAAATCTGCCAGAGGATCTATAATGTGGAAATGACTCACAAATTCAACTTTTTTCTTTTTTTGATACTCAAAAAATATGTTGTTGTGCTGTTAGCGAATGTTTACATAGCATGTTAGTTTTCCAATGAACAGATCACATACCAACTGTTGTGCGACACTGGCTGCAATCCCTGCAACTTGTCAGCACTCTCAGTGCCTCTTTGGGCACCCCATTCCCATTCATCTGGTTCCCTGGAACCCTCTCTGTTTTCCCATCTTTGGCTTTGGATAAATGCTGCCTGTTTGGTCTTGTGCAGTCAGTTGTTCTAAGCTCAGTCTTCAATCTGTTTTATTTTGGCTGAAATTTGGCCTCTGGTGTGTTTTCAGTTTCAAGTTAGAAAGCCAACACTGTCCTTGTAATCTGTGTTCAACATCGCAGCAGTTTCTGCAGCATTTTTCCTGAGCAGGAAACAAAATTTCACAGCCTCACGCTGTTCTCTTAAATCAACCGTCACAAAAAACGAGGTTAGAGGGAAACTGCTTTTATGAAAAAATTCACTGTGACAAGAGAGAACCTTCCCAGGCAATGCCACTGGGTGCACTCACTCAGAAGAGAGTTGCTTGATGATGTCTGCCTAGTGGGAAAAAATGCATACTATGAAAGCTTCGCTCCACTCAGTGAAATTCCAGTTTTGGGGGAGGGTGGGTAACCCATCGTACACTTGCTTATCCTATTTTATATAAGTAAAATTGTACAATATTTATCCCTTTATGACTGGCTTAGTTGACTCAGCATAGAGTTTTGTTTTGTTTTTAATTTTGGCAGCCAGAGGGGATAAATCTAACATCTAGACAATGCATTCTTAAAGGGAAGCATACTTTGCACATGAGTAGCTTCACAAAGATAGATTTCTCTTACACTAATGTTACGGCACTATGTGTAAGAAAAAAACTGGTTCTTTAAAATTGTAATTAAAGAACCAAAAGCGTGGTTTCAAATGGATAGCCATGTGGAATTTTGCAGTGAAGGGAAAATTAAATCAAATAATTTAACCCCTACTGTTCGAAAATCTCAGCATGCAATATTTCTTAAATATTTACTAGTATAATAAAGTTATCCTATTTTAAGATAACTCCTTAAATCCCAATGTAGTTTAAAAAAAGAAAAAACATGAAATCTTATTGTTCAAATACAGCTGGTCCCTTGATTCCAAAGCACTTGATTGATATAGAATTTTCTTCAAATAGGTATCCCATATGAAAACAAAAAGTTATGCACTGATACTTTATTTACTGAGTCATGAGTAGTTTCTGAAATTATATTCAACACACAGGAATATATATATATATATATAT